GAGGAGGCTGCTCTTGCCAATGCACGGCCTGCCTCCTGACTGCCTGAAGGGCCAGCCAGGCCGAGGAGGCTGCTCTTGCCAATGCCGAAGTGTGCCAGGGGCTGGCGCTGCAGCATCTGCTGAGGCTGGCGTTGGTGCCTGAGTTTCAAGGCCGGTCGTTCTGGTGAACTACCGAAAATAGCCCTTCGTTTCAGGCTAAAAAGGCTCTTGCCATTTTTAGTTTGAAACGACACAGGGACTGTAGGCCCCTGTTTTCAGGCTGAATTCTAGGCTTTTTGGCTGAAGGGCGCAGGGCCTGGAAAATGGCCTGCGTGTGCAGGCGCAGCATGTAACAGCCTGGACGGGCGGCCCTGGCCGGGTTGAGTGCAGCCCTATTTTTCTGTCTTTTTTTCACGGAGCCTCCACTCCTTCTGTAGCTGCAGTTTGCTTGCCTCTTGCCGCAGTACCCCCCTCCCCTTTGCACGTATGCCGCTGTACCCATTCCACAGCTCGGTTGTTATTGCTCTGGCAAAAAGGCGGAGGCGGCCCTCCCAGGTTGTGGTAGTTAAACACCCCCTTGGTCCTCCTCCTCCTCCTCTTCCTCCTCCTTGCTTCCTTCCTCATTATTCTCTTCCGCATTATTCTCTTCCCATTATTCTTCCTCATTATTGTCGTCACAAGCCATGCCAAGTTGTTTTTGAAACCCACTTGGCTCTCCTCCTCAGCCTCCTACTCGCCTTGTACCTTTCTCCTTTCTCCTCCTCCTGCTTCTGCTGCTGCTCATCGTTATAGTTGTTAAGACCAAAGCTAGAGTAGATTGAAGTTGGAAAGACGTTTTTCACTTCTTTGAGAGAATAATTTCAAATTTGAGGCATATATGTGGTCAAGACAAAGCAAAATACCTGCACAGCCATTTGGAGAAGATGCAATGTATTGAATACAGTCTGCATCCATCCACCGTTTGCAGCCACGTCCACCATGGCTTGCAGAATGCGCATGCATTGGTCCAGCACTGACTTGGTGTCCGTTATATAGTCGCTGACGGGTAAAGTCAAGCGCGAAAAATGTGCCTGGCAAACAAGTCCAACACAAGAAGACACATGCATGAGCGCACACACACACACACACACACACACACACACACACACACACACACACACACTTGGATGCGGTTTATGTCCTCCCTTTTCTGGCAAATCCATGCAAATTCAATCATCTGTAACTTAAGAGAGTGGTGGACCTCACCACTTTCTGCTAGAATTTCATGGGAACCTTGACACCAACTCTCTCTCTCTCTCTCTCTCTCTCTCTCTCTGTGTGTGTGTGTGTGTGTGTGTGTGTGTGTGTGTGTGTGTGTGTGTGTGTGTGTGTGTGTGCCTTCCTTCCCTAAACTGCCAGTGGACAGCCCAGCCATTGGAAAACCCTTTCCGATTAACACATGGCTGTGGTAAGGGCTCGGCGTGTGTCGGAAAAAGGCTGGCAGTGGCAGGCAAATCGCGCACCACGACAATTTGGATTTCTTAGCGCCGGGGAAGACCCGCATTAGAAAAAAATGAGGCTCAAATCCACTGCATTTTTTTTACTCACCTGCAGGAGGAGGTTGGTTTTGGTGTGCGGGTCGTCAAATGTCCGCGGATCGACTGCCCATCTTACGTCCTGCGCAAGCTCCTCATTCAGTTTGTCCTAGATGCGTTCAATAGACGATGACAACACACAAAAAAAAAAGTTCAGCACGGCGAAAAAATGATGAGGGAAGGCAAACCCAAGAGTGTGATAGCACGCCAGAACGATAACGCAGACATTATGGGCCTGGCTCCAATATACAATATTATACATGCATGTAGCCTGAAATGCGGACCAGATACACTTGGACTTTGTCCAACATTCGGAATGTACAAGAATGAGCAACGGGACCAGATGCGTTTAAACTTTAGTGGTGTGTCATGGTAAAGGGCCTCGCTGTGCTTTCAGACATCTGTTAAAACTGGAACGATACACAGAAGATTAGCATGGGCCCTGTCCTTCAGGACATCCATTAAAATTGGAATAATACAGCGGAGATTAGCATAGCCCCTGTCCAAGGGAAAGAAAAGAAAAGAAAAGAAAAGAAAAGAAAAGAAAAGAAAAAGGCATGGCATGACATGCATGCATTGAGATATGGTCGAGATTATGCAAAATGTGATAGGCTTTGGTCGTGCAGGTTCACGTCCTGCTATACGGATCATTATCAAAAAAAAAAAAAAAAGAAAAAAAAAAGAACAAAGAAAACACCGTCCTTCGGGACATCCATTAAAATTGGAACGATACAGAGAAGATAGATTAGCATGGCCCCTGCACAAGGATGACACGCAACAAGAAAAAAAAAGAAAAAAGAAAAAAAAAGGACCTGGCTCCACTGCACAACGTTCTAAATGTATCTTGGACCTGATAATAGCCCCGATGCATTCATAATGTTGGACAAGTCCAAAATACTCCAAAATTCCAAATGTATCTCGTGCAGAAAACCGTCCAGATACATGCAGGACCTTGAAACAGTAGAGCAGATGCAAGAAAGACATACAAAGTGCAACACAGATCCTGATCCGAACTTTCAAAGTTACTTCAAAGTTACTTCATACAGCAAATCCATCTGAGATACTGAACAACTGAAGTGCCATTTGGCATTTGCAGCTTTTTTTTTTTTTTTTTTTTTTTCCACTTGCCATTTGCTCCTTACTTATTTTGTCGTGTCCGAAGGACAATCTTCCTGCAAATTCCGGTTGCTAGGCTCGACTTGATTTTTTTATTTATTTTTCTTTGACAAATCGAAATTCGTGTTCAGCATATGCTGGGAAACGGGCCGACAGAGTCCCTTCCATCCTTTACCGTGGCCGTTGGGCTGAGCAAGGCACTCCGGCCAAGCACAAGCCTGACCGCAGCATAGCAAAGGTAACCATACTGAATAATAAATACTACTAATCAATCAATAGATAGAAAGCCCAATCAATAGATAGAAAGCCCTAAAGGTAGAACAACAAGAACCCAACTAAAGAAAAAAAAGTGTCAAAAAAAGTCTCGAGGGACTGGCATCAAACTACTAGTACCTCCGGCAGTGTTGGGAAAATACTAAAATACTAAAAATAGTGCAAAGTGGAAGTTTCAAGTTTTCCCAAACTCCTAAAAATTTGGAGGCCGGGCCTGACGACGGCTGCCATTGATAATAAATCTGATCGGCGGCCATCGTATCGTTTCGGCCTCTGAAAAGGTCGGAGGCCTACCCGAGGCCCGCTATTTCCCCACACGGAGAAGGTACTAGATTACTAGTGGTTTAAGAGAATACTAGAATAGTAACTACAACAATAACCCTAACCTAGTGTTAGAGTTAGCGGCAGGCAGTTAAACGTAAAATGAGAATTCAGGGGAACTTAATTAGTCCTAAATTCCTAATCTAATGTAAATTAAGCAACCATATTCAATATATGCTGCGAAGCGGGCCCAGCATCCCTCGCATCTGTAAACAAACAAAAGCCTACGTGGTCCAATACCCATTCCCTATTACAAAAAAAAAAAAAATGCAGCCGAAAAGAATAACCCTGCATATAGCCCCAATTAACCCCAATAAGAATTCAGGGATGCTTAATCCCAATCTAATCTAAGTCGAGCAACCATATTCAAGGTACGATGGAAAGCGGGCCCGGCGTCCCTCACATCAATAAGGAAGCCCCTAGGAATAAACCTGCCAAACCCAGATCATGAAGATCTCAAGAGGTCACCCAAGCAATCCTCACTACAATGACCCTAAGCCAAAGGTAATATAGACTCGATACCAGTGAACCCCTTTTTTCTTTTTTTTTCTTTTTTTTGGGGGGGAAGGGGGGGGAAATGCAAGTGCTCCAGTCTATTCGTGGGGAGCGACACGTGCTGGGAACCAGGCCCATCGTCCCACATAACATTTTACACAAATTTACAGAACATCTGAGATGCTGGGACCATTATCCGGCTTCGGCTGAGAAAAACATGGGTACAAGTTTACAAGATCAACAGAAACAGTCACTCTCATCCCACCATTCTATAAACAAAAAAACAAGCCATTCGGCAACACACGTTTTTATTTTTATTTTTAATTTTTATATATATTGTCACAGAACTATTGACTAAGAGCATGAGCGCGTGAAGTAGAAGAAGAAATAAGATGAGCAAAGAAAAGAAAAATGAAAGGACAGACAGGCAAAGAGGCAGATAAACCAGAATGACACTTTGTTTCACAGTATTATTATTTCTTTCAGTGTTTTACAAAAAATATTTACACTGAATCAAAGGATAAAAATAAAAAACAAAGACCCATTGAAATCATTCAGTTTCTCAGTCTTCTTAACGCCTCCTCCACTGTGCCTCTAACGTACAAGGCTCGCCACGTTGATGAAGTTGAGCGCGAGCTGCCCCCATCCCCGTATGCCATAACAGCCCACTTGCACGCTATGGGAAAGAGGCAGAGTGAAGGAAGCAGTGTCAAACACAAGGGAGAGAGGAGCAGAAAAGGAAAATCGATAGGCAGAGGGAGAAAAAATAAAAATAAAATAAGGGTGACACAAACATCTTCTTTCTTTTACTGCATTCTTCTTTCTTTC